TTTGTGTTGGTGGTGTGCTTTGTTGTTTGTAGCAACCTCTGGCTCAAGCTGCAGCTTCCACCAAGAACCTTTCTTGCGCTTCAAGTTTCTTTGGTTGATGGGGAACAACCAGCTCCAGGGCAAGCCCTTCTGATGAGTTGATTCAGCACCTGCTTTGCAATAGGTAAAGTAAACATGTTTTTTACCACCCCACAGTTAGCAACCCACTTTGGGTCTTCTCAACTATTGGGAATATGTTTTGGGATGTGTGTTTTGCCTTTTGGTTGATGAATCAAAAAATGAATCAAAAAGGCGACCCTGGTTCAACTCCAGCTCCAACTGGTCCAGGAGCACCAGGCGAAGCTGGGTATCAAGGATGGCGGTTGCAAAATTGTTTCAGTTTAATGCCCTGCAAAACGTGAACCCAAATAAAACTATGTCCCAATTGGACACATGCCCTGCAGGAGAAGATTTCCTGAGGACCTGCACCAAGTGTGGTCTGTCTGCATATTGGCGCAAGGGCTGCTGCCTGAATCCTTGGTGTGTAACTTGGCTGCACGTTGTACATTTTGTGCTTTTCGGTGTTGCTTAGTATGGGTGTATGTGCCTTGGTTCAAGCATGCTGGCCTGAACAACCTGAAGTTGTGGGGTGGCAAGAGCGATGAACTCGACCTGCAACAGGGCAGCTGGTCAAAGGCGAAGAACCGATGATCCTTGGTAAATATTATCTATCAAAATAGTCTCCTTTCTTCAGGAGACTATTTGAATATTCTCCTTTCTTCAGGAGGCTATATATGTATATATGTAGTCTCCTTTTTTCAGGAGGCTATATATGTATATATTCACATTAGTTTCAGAAGAAACCTAAAGAGGCCAGGCTCTCCTATCTAAATGTTTTGGCTAGTCCCTGGCCAGGACAGAAGCGCAAGCAGAATGACTGGTGGCAAGAGAAGATGACCAAGCAGGGCAAGATCTGGGTGGATGGGCAGGGATGGGTGCAGAAGCCTGATGCTCCTCAAGGAGATGGCTTTTGAACCTTTTGAAGATGTGGGGATTCTAAGTCTCTGTTATTCAAAACAATTCATGATTTGGGGTCACTAAAATTGTTGTAGTTTCTAATTTTACCTTTTCCCGGCAGGACCAAACCTCATCAATGTGGACAATGACAAGGAGAAGGAGGACAAGGAGGAGAAGGAGGACAACGAAGAAGAACCTCAACAACCGCCTCCTTTGGATTTGGACAAGGAGAAGGAGGAGAAGGAGAAGGATAAGGAGGAGGATGACGAGTCCAAAAAGGATGAGCCTGGTGAGGAGGGCAAAGGTGCATCCTAATCTTGCCAGGGGTGCAACTTCGATTTGCTCATGGGTTGGCCCACCGGTGGTCAGGAGATGGGCTTGTACCATTCTGTGTATCAGCTGGAAAAAGATGAAGCTACCTGTTGCTGCTCAGGAGCTCCTTGCACTGCTCAGGAGCTCCTCAAAGAATATACCATCAACAAACCATAGTTGAGGATTGTTGAATTTCAGGAGTATGTATTTGTAAATAGTTTAGGAGGTCTCCTCTAGGTAAATCAAGGAGATCTCCTGAAAAGTGTTTGACATGTTGGAGAGAAGAGTGTGACACACACACACATGGCTAACCCCTTTTGGGCTACCTTCTATACAAGCTTTTCTATTTAACCAATTTAACTCTATTTAACAAATATCTCATTTAACCATATGTTCATTTAACTTCATTTAACTATAAATTAAAAGGAAAATAGAAAGGAAACTAAAAATTAAATGCAATTAAATGAGGTTAAATGGTTAGCCTTTACCTATTTTCATTTAACTTCAAAGCCTGACCATGTAACCAATGGTTGGCCATGCAGGCTTTCATTTGAAGAAAGCTTCTCCTTTCCAACATCAGGCGATGCATTATCTTCTGGTCTACTATGAAGTTTTTTGTTTTTGGTGATTGTGTTTATGATGTTCCTGGTTCCTTGTGTTTTGTTTCCTAAACTTAAGGTTGTTTTGTGTTCAGTGAACTCTTGGCTCAAGGTGTGTGTCAGATCTGTTGCTTTCTGAGCTTTTGGGAAAGCATGCTTTTGTTCAGTGTGGTGGTTTCCTTGGCAATGGTTGGCTTCATGGCACCTAAAGCTGCTCCCACAGCCATAGCAAAAACAGCCACTGCTAAGGCAAAAGCCAAGGCCAAAGCTGATTCGAATGAGAAAAAGAAGAGGCATGCCAATATGATTGGTCAGCTGAAGAATGCAATGGAGAAATTGCAAAAAGTCCAGAAAGGAGAGAAAGAAGTATCTCCAGAAGAGCTGGCTGAACTCGAATCCAAAGACAAGCTTTTGGAAGGAGTACTGCAGCCTTGGGAGCGGAGACGACAAGAAGAATGACACGCTGGAGCCCTTTTCTCTGGACAAGACTTGCAGCAAAGTGGTGTGGAGATCCAAGGCCTTGTCACAAGAATCCTTTGAAAACAATTCAGGATGCGATGGGTGGATTTCCCGCTTCCTAGCTGCATTCCAGTTTTGTTTAAAGTGTAGTATAGATACCGTTTTCAGTGTGAAAAAACTTTTGGGCAACTTAGGGTTTGAAGTTGCCAAAGAAGAAGGTTCGGATGTGCAGAACGCAACACTTCTGCAATCGATCCTTGCTCAGTTGCCCCAAGACCAGAACTGGGACACCAACATACCTAGGGTGAAGGCCCTGCTGGAGGCCAAAGAAATGAGGTACTTCTACCAGAAGAAGAACCTGAGAGTGAGTGGCAGTGCTTAAAAAAGAAACTGACAAGCTTGCATTGAAGGAGGTGGAGAGTTCAAAAAGACTTCTGCCGACAAGTTTTTGAAAAATGAGCCTGATTCATCACCACTTGTGGTGAAAATCGAAAACCCTGCCTTGCTGAAGTTCAAGCAAAGCTTGACCGTACTTCGAAGTGGCAAGAGCAAGGTGGCGAGGGAATTGGCCAAACCAAAGACTTGTTGCTGAACTTCCAAGAGAAAAATCCCACCATGGCAGCAGAAGTGCAGAAATCCATTGGTGTTCTGGAAACTTTTGTGGAGACTTTGATCCACACTTTCGAGAAAGTCACAGATCCAGACACCAAGTCCTTGGATGATCTCATCGAAAAGTGTGAGAGTCATCTTGATGCATACGAAAGGCTGCTCAATAAGAAAAAGGCAGCTCTGGAGAACTAGAACCTTCAGCTTTCAGCTGTGCGCCGAACACGTGGCGGCGTGCCCGAGGGCTGCCTACTGCTGACCGCTTTGGTCACCTCGTGGCTTGTCCGAAGACTGCCTACTTGGAAATTGCAAATAACTTTGGCATAAGCCTCCTGCTGTCCGCTTCGGAGACCTACGTTCCCGGGCAGGGGGAACAACGACTAACCCCGTTCGACGGGTCCACAGGGGGCACTCTACGGGCTCACCCTAGGCTGGCGTGAAGCCAGACAGACTTTTATAGAAATGCGTACTGGTTTAAAAGCGGTTTGCCACACGCCGGCCTAAGTGAAAAACCTAAGAAACAGCAGGTACACGGAGCTGATCAGGCTCCGCTTCCCCCTCTTGTCCACAGCTTCATTGCGTGCGGTCAGGACAAGAGGGCCACACGCCCCTGCAGAGTAAAAATGACAACCAAACACGCAATCCAACTGGATCCCTGTGATTCCAAGGGGTACTGGGTGCTCGCAAGGGCTAAGTTCAGAGTGAAGTCCCACTTTAGCGATTACATTACCCGTTGCATTGTAGACCTTGACTTGCAAACGGAAAGGTGGAGACGTCCGCTTCAACTGTATTGTTTAACAAGGGTGAGATGGAGAAAGTTGAAAAATGCGGGTACGTGAGTCGGGCGTCCCTGACTCATATCACGAGAAACGTGCAGCGTCTTCGTTGGTCGCTGACTGCACGAATCCCCAGCGACCCCCTGCCTCTTTTGTCGCGTTGTTAACTAGGACAGGAGAAACAGAAGGAAAGGCACCAACACACAAGTGTGTTGAGTGCGATTTCCTTCTGTTACCCTGAATAGCGGGTGGGGTAGCAACCAAGGCCAGGGGCAAGGAGGCAACCAAGGCCAGGGGCAAGGAGGTAGGGGGGAGGGTGGGTTAGGGTGGCCCGAAGGCATTGCCGTCACTGGCATTCAAGTAAAGCCGCATTCGGCGCATCTTTGACTGCAACCTATAAAGAAACCTAAAGAAAGGCCTCAAGAAGACAAAAAGCAACAACAGGAAGGAAAAACCAAAAGAACCAGAAGAGATTACTTTGTCGTTCACGTTCCGGACTCTCCTTCCGCTGGGCCGTAAAAGGCGGTACAGTTTCGCCTGAAACCTGAAAAGCATCGAGCAACCCTTCACCTGAACCTAGAAGCCTCGAGCAAAACTCAAAGTGGTCCGAATGACACATTCGTCCCGTGCAGGTGTCCCGTCTTGTTTACTTAGCCAAATGACACTGCTCCAAACATGCTCACGTGTGAAATTCCCAACTGGATCTGATCACAGTAAGCCCTGCGGCGTTCAATCAGCAGTCTCGTGCAGTTCCGCCAATCAGTGGGATTGCATAAAGAACTTCAAGTGCAAGAACGGAACAATCAGAGTGGGTCCCCAAGGATCTGGGTCTATGCACACGCTGCGCCCCTCGGCGGGGATCACACCACAGCCCTCAGTGGGACTCTGTGGCACGTGGCAACACACACACACACACACTTAGATGGTTGCTCGCAAGAGCTAAGTTCAGAGTGAAGTCCCACTTTAGCGATTACATTACCCGTTGCATTGTAGACCTTGACTTGCAAACGGAAAGGTGGAGACGTCCGCTTCAACTGTATTGTTTAACAAGGGTGAGATGGAGAAAGTTGAAAAATGCAGGTACGTGAGTCAGGCGTCCCTGACTCATATCACGAGAAACGTGTATCCCCAGCGACCCCCCTGCCTCTTTTTTCGCGTTACAAGACATGTGTGCAAGACATGTGTGCAGCCTTGGAAACAGGCTTTGACACACACACACACACACACCGGGCTGTACATTTCGCCGCGATGCATTTCGTAGGCATGCGCAATGGCCAGGAGGTTCATTGTCTTTGCTGACATCATGGCACCATAGCGAAAGTACAGCTTGGCCTGGACTGTGCAAAACGGCCCTGCCTCCGTGCAACGTTCGGCACGATTCCTCCTGCAAACCTAAAGCACCCTAGGATAAATATGCCTTTGCCTGCCATTTGCCTGCTACATCAGGGTGTCCAGAAGGCTACTATACCATGTTGCCATCTCTAGCAAGATCAGTAGCTGTTCCTCCTCCCATTCCAACTCAGGCTGTGGCCATCACGGGCGGAAAGAGTAGTTCACAGCTCCGGACCAAAACCCCAAGCAGGATCGCTCCAAGCCGAAACTTTCGCTGCAGAAGGGTGCAAAAACCATGCGTGAACACGGTGCGAATACGGTGTGAGCACAGTGTGAACTAGAAGTAAAAGCAGAATCTTGAGCAAGTCTTCCGGTACCATTTAGCAGCTGTCTTCCTCGTTTGACCCAGCCCAGGCTCTTTAGTCTGGTTGGTTAGCATCGAAGCTCATGGGATGAGCTTTGACAGCCGTCAGCAAGCATCCACAAATCTTGAACTGCCAAAAGTTTGTTGCAAATGGCCCACACCTTACACGGCAACTGATGGCTACGCATATTCCAGCAAATATGACAAAAGCAAGCTGAGATTCAGGCTGAACCGCGCACGGTACATGTTATGTCCTAGGCTATAGGTGACAGAGCCATAGTGACGTGGCGCGTTGTAGATATAGCTCATAATGAGAGGCGAGCAACCACCATCATCCATTCCAGCTCGCTGCTCCGAATGAACTTCTACGAGAACTCCTAGAGGACTCATCTAAGATTGCCAGGAGCTACAAGAGGGACAGAAGCTAGAGGAAGAAGTCGAAAACACTACAACAAATATAAAGTCTTAAAAAAATAAACACTTGTACCTTAAGCAACACCGGCGCCGATGCTCGCATCTTCAGACGGTGAACCTCTCCTGTGTCTTGGCTGCAGGTGACCGCTCCGTAGCGCCAGGCGATGTCGTCCACAAATCTCCAAGCAGAAGTGCCTTGCCAGGGCTTTAGTGTGAAGACTATTGGCATACAATGTTTTCGCAAAGTTCTGTCTATCTGGTCTTGCTGATGAATCTTTACACCCCATGACTCAGGCGGGGCCAACTCTCCCCCTTTTTCTGTAGATGTGCACATGTATATATAGTTATATATGATTTTATATATGGTTGTTCTGTTCTGTTTATTTGTTGTTTAATGTTCATTTATAGTTAATGTTCCTCGTTGTGAAGGGTTGTACTTTTGCTTCTGGTTCGTAAGTGTTTTTCAAGGGTTCCGCCAAGCACTTCCACAATCCTGGCGGTGCCAAGTCACTGCAGCTCACCCATGCAAAGGTGCCAGATATAGCCCCCATCGATGGCACACTATAGGCTTCAGGTTTGGAATCAACCCATCTGCAATCCCTTGGGCACCGGAGGACCACATGAAAGAATCAAATTTCACATGAAAACATATGAAACTTCTTGGAAGAATCATCGAGAGATGCCCACACTAAGGCTCACCATGATCCAAGTCTCTCTGGCCAATTGATCTTGCCTTCTGCCCATCTTCGAATCTCCTTGAGTTCTCCCCGCTTCAGGCAAGGCCCTCTTACCCCATAAGTTCTGGATGGTTTGCTTATGACTCAGTGTGCACCTCCACAAATCACATCACCAGGCTCCTGTCCCACCTCCTGAGCGGTGGCATTGGTGATGAGCAGAGGCATGGTGGCACCTTCCCGACACCTAGGATCACTGAGGCTCAGCCTGCAGCAACCCGCCACGCGGCAGCTTTCCTGAAGTGCTCGCGGTTTGTCTGACAAGGGTCAGTCCAGTTGTCCGGCCCGACAGGTACCCCTTGGCGATGGAACGATTCTGCCATCTTTTCTACTTGTGGCCCGGACGCCCCATCATTGATGCAAAGAGCAAGCTGCCGTGGGGCGTGGCAAGCAGAACAAACACCGCAGGTTCCGCAGGTTTGGTCTCCTGCTGCGGTCCCCCTGTTTCGTGCCCAGCGGCTGGAAAGCTGTCCCAGCCAGGGTTGTTGAAGAAAGTCTGCAAATGAAGCCTTGAGAACGCCGAGCTCTGGATCACCGGCAGCCGCTCTCTTTGACAAGCTTGGCTCGGGAAGGCACCCAAACAAAATCACGCAGACAAGCGCCAGCGGTGTTGCCAAAACGAGCAAGAGAATGCGCAGAATTCGGCCTGAACCCACCCAGGAGTTTGACAGGAATGGCCCAAAACGTCTCAAACTGCTCAGGCACGAGTCACTAGCTTTCATGACAACGCTTCTTTTGCGTAGGTTCAGGCAAGTTGCATTTTGGACCCCTCTCAGCATCAGGTCTGATCAGTAGGACCTGGGCAGCTCCCACAGTGGTCTTGGCTGGGCACCAGTCAAGTCTTCAGCCTTCAATTCAACCGCAAACTTGCTTGAACTTTTGCTCATTGTTGCCGTACCCGGCATAGAAGTCCCGAGAAGTAGCCTAGCATAGGCCCTATCATAGGGGAGGTCCTAGCGGGCCCAGGCCTATCACAGGCAGGTCCCAGCTAGGATAGGCCCTATATAGGCCTATCATAGGATAGGGCCTATCAAAAGGGGGGGTCCTAGGGCTAGGATAAGCCCTATCATATAGGGGGTGTCCTAGGGCTAGGGTAGGCCCTGGGCTAGCCCTAGGCCCCAGGACAGGGGGTTGCAGGGCTAGGCTACGCCCTATCATGAGGGCGGGTCCTGGGGCTAGGATAGGCCCTATCAAGGGGGGAGGGCTAGGATAGGCCCTATCATAGGGGCTAAAAGGGGAGAAAAGCCAGCAGGGATACATCCTGGAGGCGAAGCATACAGCGCCGTCCAAGGACAAAGGACTGGTGCCCAGAGTACGCCTTATTGAAAAGATTCAATAAGGAACGCATGTTTCAATAAGCACTATCAATTTCAATAGCAACATTGTTTTTATTGAAACAGAATCAATAAAGCCTTATTGCTTAAACCAATAGGGTCTTATTGGTTTGAGAGTTGAAACCAATAAGGTTTCTTATTGGTTTGTAGACTAAACCAATAAGGTTTTTCAACAGTTTGGGATCTGAAACCACAGTGTGTGTCAACCAACTTGCATTTTTGTCTGGCAGCAAAGCATATTCAGAGCCCTTGTGCAGGACCCAGTTGATTAAGCCCTTGGCAGGACCAAACTACATTGTGCTTCAGCCCTTTGACAGGACCCAAACAAAGTTTCAATCATCATCATCAGACATTGGGAGCTCAAGGGCATCATGGAGAAACCTGAGATGCATGCCCAAGCGAAACCTCCAACACACCTTGCCAGGCACAAGATGTGGTGGGGTTCCATTTAAACAGGAGTGGGCTAAACTTGACATGAGACCAACCATGGTCTCTCCTGTGTAAGTACTCATGTACTTGGGGTTGGCCCACTCTGCTTGCATTGCTAAGTGTGCACTCAAGTGATGCTTGTGAACAGTTGAATATTGCAGCAGGTTCTTCCCAATGCAAATGCTTGCCAATTTGGTATAATGAACCAGGCAAAGATTCATGGATTTGAGCAAGGATTTGCTAGCTGCTTTGGACATGTGAAGGCCTTCTTGGTCCATCAGTGCATAGACATTGTTGAGGTGCTCCAAGGCTGCCAGCTTGTGCCTGGAGTAGTTGTCATTTGGCAGCTCAGCCTTGCAAATCTCCAGGTAGACAGGCACCAAATGTCTCACTTGTTTTGCTTTCAACCCTGACAAATGAGGGAAATTGTCCCACTTTGATTTGACAGAGCAAAAGTTGCTCCAAGTGAGTCTTCTAATTCTACAGCTATGATCAGTACCTTGTTCCTGGTACTGGTGCATGATCATCTCTTGCAGGTGCACCAACCTCTCTTCTTGGGATCCTGGCCAGGTAGGCTTCATGACAAAGTCAAAAGTAATGTTGGCCAGCAGGTGTCCAGTGACACCAAGCTCCAGCACATGCAGAATATCATAGGCCCATGTCTCACCAACTACACCCTTCACACCTGCTATAGGGTGATTAGTGGGACATGTGCCTTTGTGTTTGATGCATGTAGTTCTCCACAAGGCATTTGGGCGGTAGTCATTGTGTGGAATGCTGTCCTTATCTGCTTTGCAGGAAAAGCAACATTGGTTGTAGCTGTGTCCTTGGAGACCAAATTCATTCTGCTGATATTCACCATCACAAGTGATGCCAAACAGCCAGCCACAATACCCATTGCTGTTGAGGGCTGAGCCTGCTTTGCTATGCCTGTAGCTTTTTGGGTGCCAAGCTTCTCCTAAGTGGTCTTTCTCAGGCCATTTACCACACCACATGGCATTGAAGGACCATTGCAAAACATTCCAAAGCGCTGTCATTGTGTCCTCCTCAGAGTTGCTGCTCTTATTGCAGCATGCCTTTGGTATGGCCAGCAGTAAAAGTTG